ACCCACTACCTAGATAACTACCATTATATACGTGAAGAGAGAGAGATAACTTCTACCCACTACCTAGATAAGTACCCATTGTGTTCCAAGAATCATCTTTAACACTCGTCCTTGACACAAAATTTTCTCCTTTTCTTTTTTCTTTTTCTTTTTTTTTAAATTTGTTTGTACATGATTTTTAATAGATGGTCTTCATTTTCTTCCTTCAATGCCGAAATCAAGGCTTCAAGCTTTTCAATTTGCTTCTTCATTTCACAATTTTTTTCTTCTCTTGCAATCTTGATATTCTCTTTTTCATCTTATTTAATTTCAATTGCTTTTTTCTCCTTCAATGCCAAAATCAAGGCTTCAAGCTTTTCAATTTACTTCTTTATTTCACAAATTTTTTCTTACTTTGCAATCTTGATATTCTCTTTTTCATCTTATTTAATTTCAATTACTTCTTTTAATTTTGCCAATTGTGATATGGCAAGTTGCCAATTGTGATATGGAAAAATAGGCTGCACTGCACTGTGTTCTGTTTCTTATTTAGTATCCATATAGGATACTGAAATTCTTTTCCTTCGACTTCTACCTCAAATAATTCTTTTTTTCCTATTTCTACCTCACAAATAGGGGGCTATGATCGGATCCTCCCTTGATATTTTTATAAGTTGGTTTTTCAATTTTTTTGATTTTTACAAAATTCATTTAACTAACTTTTTGAAGTAGCAATTGCTATATTTTTTGATTTATTTTCTACAAAAAAAAATAAAAATTGCAACAATTGGTTTCTTTTTAATTGTCTTTTTTTTTAAACACTTTTCTCCTATTTTTTATGCCTTCTCATGGCATCATCATGCATTTTCATAATATGACAAATTAGGACTTTAATGTCTTATTTTTATAAACACAATGTCCTCATGCTTTTTTACGGTATCATCATGCATTTTCATGGCATGACAAACTAGGACTATTTGTATCACATTCCCTTTGAGTTTTGTCTCTATCTTCTTTTCCAAATAATAAATCTCTACCAATGCCTATTTCTTAGACAACTTGGTTCTCCAATATCTATCTTTGACTACTTGTGCTCTGACACTACTGTTAATTTTTAAAAACACGTACTCGATAGATAAACATAAAACTCAACTTTACTCAAGTTTTTTCACACACCACATTTCAATTCATGAAGCCCAAATATATAGGCTTTTGCAACACAACTACATAATACCTAGATAACTACCCCTACCCATTACCTTCTTCAATTCATGAAGCCCAAATATATAGGCTTTTGCAACACAACTATATAATACGTAGATAAGTACCCCTACCCATTACCTACGTGAAAGAGAGATATCTTCTAACCACTACCTAAATAACTAGTATTACATTTCACTTTTTTTGGATATCTTTAACATAAGGTCTCTTTTTAATAGCTAACACCATAGCACTCTCCATAGATGCTCAACCTAAGGTCCCACGCAATCTTCATCACGGCAGCGGTGACCATTTCGGGATTGACCGGGCCGGCGGTGGTGCTCATCATGCAACAGGTGAGACGGCGGATGCCTGCATATCTACACCCAGGCATGGAGCGGCAGAGCCCCAATGCCCTGCTACACATCCTCTCCTGCATCTATGGCCCGGCCGATGTCCCTGTCACACTCAACCTCGTCGAGGCATGCCGGGTTGCCCAGCCCGAGATTGCACCTCTCTCAGTCTCTGCTGTACATCTCATTGAGTTCACGGAGCGCTCCGCCTCCCCCCTCATGTACCGCCGCGACAACAGTGCCACATTCGTCTCATACGAGGCTGAGGCCATCTCCGAGGTGTTGCGCGCCTACCGTCTCTCAAATGGGATCCCCATCCGCCTCATCGCCGCCGTCTCGTACTACTTCAACATGCACGAGGACATCTGCACTACTGCAACAAACATGCGCACCTCACTCATCATCTTGCCCTTCCACAAGTTCCAAAGGGTCGACGGAAAGATGTACATTCGCAACCATGCCCTCCAAAAGGTGAACCAACGGACACAGGATCACGCGCCATGCTCAGTCGGAATCCTGGTAAACCGAGGACTCGGAGGGGCCACAGTCAAGACCGCGACCAATGTCCGGATGTCCGTGGCTGCGCTATTTTTCGGCGGTCCGGATGACCGCGAGGCCATGGCTTTCGGCATGAGGATGGCTTTAAACCCGAGCATCAATTTCACGATCATGCGCTTTCTGCCCTGCAACAAATATGATAAGGAAATTGATATTGAAGATGAGGATGAGAGTGGATACGACGTCGAGATGGAACTAGATGATGCCTTCATGAGTGAATGTTGCAAAAGATATGTGAAATCAAAGACAGTAGCTTATGAGGAGAGGTCACCACACACATGTGAGGAAATAGTGATGACACTGCGAGAGATTGCCTTGAGCTACTCGTTATTCATTGTGGGTCGAGGAGGGCCGGGGGCAGCGCGCCTCACAGCAGGGCTCATAGGTTGGGAGGATTGCCCTGAGCTAGGGCCCGTGGGTGACTTGCTCTCTTCCTCCGAATTCTCCATTACTTGCTCAGTTCTGATCATCAAACAGGCTCGGCCACTGTCTTCTGCAATTAGAGTCAGCTCTAGAGGAAGATTGGGTGGATAGTTTGTAAAGAAGAAAACAGTTTCTAGAGAAGTCACCATTACAGGATTCATTTATTCTTACTTCATGGAGACTGTAAGGGCAAGGTTCCATGAGGCGCCTCTGCCATGGAAATTGTGAAGGTGAGAGACTCCTTTCATGGAGATCGTACCTTGGGATTTTGTATTGATTCTATACCCACTCTTTGTAAATTAAGAAAAGAGTGATTTACGTATGTATTCGAAATTTTTACCTAAAATATGAAAGGATCAGTAAATATTGAGAGGAAGGTAGGTAAACATGCATTTTTGTATTTTTTTTCAAAATTACCTCTTGGTCCAATCTAGGTCAAAACAAATGAAAAATAAAATAAAAGAAAACAAGAAAAGAAAAATAGTCAGGCCAAAAGGAGCTAGTACTAACCCTAGCTGTGCCCTAAGGCCACAGTATGTGGCCGAAGCCAGACTTTTTTAGGGCCGGTCCGGTTCAGATGGTTTCTTCTCCGTTGAATAAGAGGTTCTGATGGTTTCTTCACCGTTGAATAAGATTATTGAAATGACCATGGGAAACAGCTTTGATGAAAGGATAAAACGTTTCCTGTTTTGCGTAAGTGAATGCGTTGAGGTTAACCACATCCAATTTACATGATATAATCTACACGAGAGAGACCAAATTTACATGATACAATAATGTACATGTTGAAAAAGTAAGAGAGATCAAAGATACACAGAGACCATGACACAATATGTACGTGGTTTGGCATGTACCTACTCATGTTAGTGGGCTCCTGGTTTCCCTAGGGTCAGGAGGCAGAAACCCACTCTAGAACAACTGCGGAGGTCCGACGCGTCGGTGTGCGCGGGCCCTCCTGTTGCGAATAGGTGCTGATGGTGAGAGAGATTTTACGACTGGAGCGCGGATGCTCTTTACGGTGCTTGGGGGGTTCGGGAACTCGCCTGAGCGGATAGCCCTCTTAGAACAATTACGAAGCCCAACAGTGCTTGACAGCATGGTTTGGACGGGGGCCCTCTTCATGATCACAACCTCTCTCCTCTTTCTTTTTCTACACTGTTGGAATGGGATCCGAATGTCCCTCCCCCTTGGTCACCCTTCGACGGGGTGAGGGGTCTGAGTGCAATGGTGGTTGTCTGATACTATTATGCAGCTGTTGGCATGGAGCGACAGTTGAAGGGTCCTTCTTTAGTGTGATGGCACCGCACCTAGGTCACATCGCCCTAGGCTTTATTTTTCGATGCAACATTAGTCTGCGAGTGTCTGGTGAACCCGCAGGATTAAGCTCTCGCTGGCTCTCCCCGTATTTGTGTGGGCTTTGGAAGTATGTCAAAAATGACGTACAACAACTTGCCCCGACGGAAGTTGTGCTTCGGCAGAAGTGAGAAGTGCATCATTCAAAAAACTTTAAAGTTGTAGCTCCCCTAGTGAATCCTTCTAAGATGTGTTTATTGTCTCTCAAATATATTTTTTTTCTTGATCACCGGCATCCGCGCAGTCCTTGAGGGGTAGACCTTGCTGAGCTTTTCTCTTGACCAAGGGGTGACCAAAGTGGCTTCTAGTGGTCTGGTGCTTTATTGAGAGGCGTTCTCCGGGTTCCGTTAGATTCCGTTTTCTAGGAGATCGCGTAGATGGTCTGCCTTCGGTGGGCTTACGACTTTTGTTTCAACGATAACTCCTAATATCCCAGCCGGTGGTGGCCGTTTTTGTGGGCTTTATCCCATCATGGTTGTGGAGGTCTTGGTGTTCTAGTCGGCAGGGGCCCTTTTTGTGGGCTTTATCCCTATCCAAGCAGAAACATCAGGAGGAAGTGAGTAAGCAGGGTACCTCTTCGGTCCACATCCTCCTGGTCTAGTTGGGGATCTCCCGAATTACCCGTACATGATAGTGAGGTGGTCTCTGAGGCGGTCTCGTTTCAAAAGACTTCACCCTGAATGCTAGGATTTGCCTGAGATTTTTTTTTTTGATGGCATTGGGGCTAGAGATTTTTTTGAGAGGAACTGGGACTGGAATTTTTGAAAGGCACGGGGGCTAGAGATTTTTGGAGGACTAGGGCTAGAAATTTTTGAAGGCACTAGGGCTAGAAATTTTTGGAGTGGCACTGGGGCCGAAGATTTTTTGAAGGCACTGGGGCCAAATATTATTGGAGGCACTGGGGCAGGAGATTTTTGAATGGTTTTTAAGGCACTGGGGCCAGAGATTTTTTTGAAGGCACTGGGGCCGGGGATTTTTGAACGCACTGAGCCGAAGATTTTTGGATGGCATAGGGGCTGGAAATGTTTCGAAGCCGATTAAAGCGCCCTTGCAGGTTTTCGCTTGAATCAAATGGAGATGGTGCCAGTAGAATGGTTTTCACCAAATCCTTATACTGGGGCATTTTTACCCATGACTTCGAGGTCACGTCCACCCTTTTGGCTTCCCCTTTTACTCATGACGCCCTTGTGGGTTTTCTCCATGCTCAGATTGTTTTCTCAGGACTCTTTTACTCATGGCCTTAAGGCCATGCCCTCCTGTCATTTTTACTCATGGTGCCCAAACTTTTTTCACCATGCTCTGTTTTTTTTTGGTAGATGATTTTACCCATAGCCTTGTTGGCTATATTCTCTTGAAGCTCTTTTTCCTTTCACTCCTGATGGTTACCATCGCAGCTAGCTTCTTTAAGGGAGGGGGGGGGGAGGGGTGTTCACCAGTGTAGTGAGCCCTGACAGTGGAGTCTAATTGGTGTTGCTATGTGTCGGGTTGATGTAGCGGGGAGTTGCTGAGGTGGGGTGTAATCGTGAAGGACGGGTGTTGCCTCGAACAGGGTGGTTTCTTTGCGACCCAAGCAGGGTGTGCTTCTGTGGGGTCGATGACGATAGCATTTACGGGAAGTGTGTTGCTGACAGCACCCAGGGCTAGGTGAAGTGTTGAAGGGGGTTGAGGGGGGGCGAGGGGGAAGGTGGCACCCAGGGGGGGGGGGGGGGTTGTTGAGTAGATGGTACCCTCGGGGGGGTGGAGTGAAGATTACACCTGCGAGGGGTGCACTGTTGAGGGCACCTGCAGGGGGTAGAGTGGAGATGGCACTTGCGGGGGGTGGAGTGGAAATGGAACCCGAGGGGGGTGCAGTGTTGAGGGCACCCACGGGGGGTGGAGTGGAGATGGCACCCGTGGGGGGTGCAGTGTCGAAGACACAGGCGAGGGGTCTGCCCGGGAAGGTGATGCCTGGTTGTTGAGGTGTATGGGGGCCAATTCAAGGTCAGAGAGAGATTGCCACCTGGGAGGCAGGTGTTGGAAGGTATTTTTCATCAACATTAGACCCCCGCTCGAGAAAGGCTTAGCAAGTAGTGAAAATTTGGACAGCCTTAGAACCTCCCCAAAACGGGCCAAGATCTTAATGAGGTATCTCAAAAGTCTCTTGCCAAGTTTTGTCGCATTCCAACATGTGTAAGGCAGTACAAATTGAGGAACAGTTCCTGCAGAATCGGCCTCTAGCACCTTGAAACGGACCCCTATTACTAAAGCTACATATTCAGCATCTCAAATTGCTATGGGACTACCACCATTGGATCCAGCACCGTTGAAAACCCCCTGGGGTCAAGTTTCAACCCAAATGGACACTCCAAGAAGAAGTTATAGGTGAAAGAGTGAAACAGAAGGAGCGGTACACTATTCCCGTTCGGTCATCCAGCAACACTGCACCATTAACGGAACAATCATGACTAGTGACTTTCGACGCTTATACTTCGGCTGTCCCATATTGCATCGTGCTCAAATTTGGTCAGCATATTCGTTTAGTCAAGATGAGAGATTCCATATGTGGCATGCCCCATGATGATACCCGAGCGTGAAGAAAAGCTAGAGATAATTTGTTGATCCGTGAAGAAAGTGCAGGACATTTAGCAGTGTCATGCCTCGCTCGAGTGGCAAAATCATGACACTCGAGAGCCCTATCAATGCGAGAACAATTCCATTGCGGGCGTAAGATCTCGAGCCATCTCTTACCCTAACCCCATACATGATGAACGATCGGATTCTGTACATGAAGCCGACGAACAGACTGCAACTTTCGTCGTCGAAATCCTTGATGCCGGTCAAAATACCAAACTTTCAAAATCTTTGTTTGGCCAAGAATCGAGCTGTGTTTGGTGCCCCATGATCATAGAGGCATTCTCAGTGTGATTCAGTGAAGAAAACATAAAAAAATGTTAAGGAACAAACACACTATCGATTCGAAGTATCAAGATCTACTCAAAATTCAAATCACATGATCGTGTACCAAAAACACGATTCATGGCTCGAAGTTGGTATCAAATCGATTGCCATGCCGAGCCTTACAAGAAAACAATCATCTTACGATCAATTGGGCATCAGAATGACCCCGGATCAGCCATGCAAGAGCACGCAAGTCCTAAGGCAACACAGGGACTGTTATGAAATTCGACAACTTATAACGAAGGGCAAAATCTTCCATTTTGCACCCAATTTTTTAATTTCTTTTAAATCAATTTCATATTACTTTCCAATAATTAGGGTTACTTTTGATCATCCACCCATGTTTGGGGCACACTTCTATATATATGTACCATCATTGTACGTAGAAAAAAGAGAGAGAAGGAAGACACATACACGCACAAGAGAGATTTTTCACTTAATACAAGTTTCGCTTTCTTACAATTGTGGTGTTACGCTTGAGAGAGAGGTAGAGGTGAGAGAAACTTTCGACCGGTACCCTTAAGGTTGAGCTAAATCTTCTCTCTCTTCTTTTTCTTTTCTTCTTCTTTCTAGCTTCTCCCCTTTCTTCTCCCTCTTCTTCTTTTGAGTCCATTGCGAAGGTCTGCACGGCCATGGCAGTGCCGTGCATGCCTCTCCCTTGGTCTCACAGGCCGTGCATAGTGATGGCAGCACCATGCACGAGTCTTCCTCCCCTCTTTCTCATCTGTCTCTTTCTCTCAGTGAAGTCTGTAGACAGCGCTACTCATTGCTGCCTACCGACATAGCTTTGATGTCTCGGTGAAGAACCTAGATGACGAAGTGTGTTGCCGCCTACAGGAGTCTTCCTCTGCTGTGTATCTAACGTAGACGGCGATACCTATTGCCGCTCGTTAGAGGCCTTGGCAACCCATCATCGTCTGCGAGATTCCTCCGTGCGTTCGGTGCCTATCGTCATTCCCCCTATGTCCCACGCCCATAGCCGTGTGACTTAGGAGAAATCATTGCCGTGTGCCTTGTCAAGAGATAGCGCCATCCGTAAGGGATGCGCCGCCTCCTTGCATTGCCCACCACGACGTCT